AGTGTCAAGCTCGATGGAATGCCAGATGAATTGTGGAGTGGTTTTCCAATCGATGCGTTACCACCTGAACCGCCGTTTTGGGTGGATGAGCTTGCTGACAGAGTTGAGGTAGAACGTTTGAAAAGCATGAAAGTCCTGATTGAGGAGGAGCTCTACAGTGGAGAGCCAGTGAAAGCAAAGTTAACGACCAAGCATGTACATGATTGGCGTTTGAAACCTTTTGGAGACGGAAAGAAATGGTTGAGAAGATCTCGTCTTGTAGCACGAGAATTTGCGTTCAAAGAGAAACGTTCAGACACCTTTTCTCCAGCAACCTCTTCACATGTGATGAATGTTTTGCCTATGGTGTTTCTTGAAAAGCTGGCACAGTTGGAGATGAACGAGGCAGATTCAACTGAAGTGACGCTTGGTACGGTGGATGTGAAAGATGCATTCTTGATGGTCGATCAACCGACCCCACTTCGAGTGCAACTTCCTGTGGGAAACCATATCGTGTTGAAGAACTTACCAGGTCAACGTCTAGGTGCAAAGTGCTGGTATTGGCATTTCAGAGACTTTTTGACTTCAACTTTCAACATGGAGTGGTGCCCAGAGCAACCATGCTTGTGCAGAAACAATGAATGCGCTTTGATGATCCATGTGGATGACGTGATGTTTTGTGGTAGCACAAAGTACTGGAATGAAGTTTTTCTGAAGAAGCTTGGTGAACAGTTTACTATCAGTGCTACAGCGCTTGGTGAAGTTGGCAGTTCAATCAGTTTCTTGAAACGAAAACTGGTGAGACTCCCATGTGGTCTTGCGTTGGTTCCAGGTACAGATGTGAACAAGGTGATCCAAATGTTTGAGCAAAGCTTTGGAAATGCGCGACGGCAGATAATTCCATGTGACAACACAATCCAGATGGAGGACCTCTCGAGTCCACTTTCCAGTGAAGAAGCCTTCCACTACCGATCAGTGGTAGGTATGCTGCTCTATCTTGCGAGAGACAGACCAGATTTGCTTTTTGTGGTGAAGGAACTTTCACAGAAGATGAGTTGTCCTACAACAGTTGCAGTGCAGAGACTCCGGAAGGTGATTGGCTACTTACGCAGCACAGATGACTTTGCAGTTGTGCTTGAGAAACCGATAGCTGGCCATGGACGTTGCAAGTCCACAGATGAGAAGGTCTGGATCCTTGAGTCCTTTAGCGATGCAGATTGGAGCTCGAACAAGGTTCATCGACGTTCCACGTCATGCGGGATCCACTTGCTGAATGGTCAGATGGTTTATGGAAGTAGCAGGACACAGCGTGTCATTTCACTTTCCTCATGCGAGTCAGAGCTGCACAGTTTGGTGTCCACACTTTGTGATGGAGTGTACATCAAGCGATGCTTGGAGTTTGTGGTAGGTGCCACAATACAGCATGTCTTGCTGACAGACTCTTCGAGTGCGAGACAACTGGTAAACCGCCAGGGAACAGGAAAGCTGAAGCATGTGGATGGCAAGATTCTTTGGATTCAAGAGCATGTGCGACAAGGCAGTGTTTGCATATGCCAAGTTTCTACAGTTTGGAATGTGGCAGACTTGGGAACAAAAGCGTTGGCAAAGCAACGTGTCATGCTGCTGTTACATGAAATAGGTGTCCATGCAGAGTTTGGCCAGAGACAGGTTGGCCAGGAGGAGTTTGACCACCAATGGTCAAAACATGGTGAAGGCAGACAACTCAGCAAGCTAGCAAAAGCAGTTGCCAGGATAATCCTAGTGATGGGCCTTGAGCCTACTGCTGGTGCGGAAATTTCTGGAAGTGATGGAGAACAATGCTCCATGGATGCTTCGCCGAACAACTCGAGCGAAGACAATTTCTGGATTTTCTTTTGGATGCTGGTTTTGGGATTACTATGGCTTGGCTTGTTGGTTGCTGTTGTGAAGTTCATGCGATGGACCCGAGAAGAGTTTCGACAGCATGCATGGCAACTTGCAGATGGTGACAGAGTTTACGGTGAACAACGAAGTTCCCTCAACCATACAATGGAACAGGTCTCAGCGTTGGAAGGATGGGTGTCAGGACTGGAAGGTCAGATCGCAATGGTGAGCGATTACTCAGAATCAGTGCATCACGGTTTGGTGGAGCTAGGTGGCTTCACACGAATCACAGACTTGACTGCAGAAGAAAGGAGAGGGCTCTACGCAACAGAAAGAGCCAACTTGGTTGCAAGGAACGCTATGGGTTCCAACTACTACCTTCGTGGAATCCGACAACAATTCCATGGAAGTGCAACAGGTGACAACACAGACAATCCTGAGGATGATGAGTCAATGCATGGAGAATCAGCAGAAGAAGAAGCTCCAGAGAATGACCCATATGTCTCAGGAGGCAGTGCAAGTTCTACTAGCAGGCCGATTGGAGTGTCAGTGATCATGAACGACCTGACGACCCAATTGAACAATGCGTTGGCACGTGAGCACTGGCGAGACGCCTCAGTCTTGCAACATTTGATGATGGACCTTCTGGACCTCACATACCAAAATGGGTATGACAATGCTGAGAGACGCAACAGGTACATGGAACATTTGATCCAAAGGTTTGAGGAGATGACAGCAGATGCAAGAAGGAATGGACACGTAGACGTCGTGGCAGTCTACGAAAGCCTTTTGCAACAGTGGCGCAGAGTCCCTAGAGAGTTGGCTTCAGAGTCTTACTGCAGAAGCCAAAGGAGGAGTACGAAAAAATAGGGACAGTGCTCATGGATGTGAAACCATACCATTTGATGTCAGTTGCAGAGCTTTGGACGATGACACACACAAATCGAGAAGTGTTCAGTTTTCACCTCACTTGCATGAATATCATGTCAAGTCATTGCATTGCAGGCCTTTGGCTTAGGAGTAAAAGGAGTGGCAGCTGCTACGCATTCTCAAACCTCTGCCGAAATGCGTACCATTTTCCCACCCTGACTTGACAGGTACAACGCTGCAACCCGACAAAGAAAAGGGTTGTCCACCAGCAACGATCCCGCTGATTTTGACTCGAACATTGACAAGGCACGCCATCTCCATCCTCTTCCCTGTTCTTTTTCGGTTTGGACATGGGGGATGGGTATGTTTTTGAATTTGTTGCACTCCAAGAATCTTAAAAAAAAACTCATCGGTTTACCTTATTTCATCATTAACCATTATTAACCAATCGTTATCCCATCATTATCTCATCATTGAAAATTATATTATATCCCATTGTCATCCATTGTTCAGGGGACATTTAGTTCGCAAACTTCCGAGCTACGGACGAATGTCCATGGCTAGTTTTGTTATCAGGTCAACCACAAAGGTCGCAACAGCATTTCGCAGGTGGGAACACTAGAGGAGAGTAACAATTCGGGAGCATGTGAATTTGTGGGTGAAACCACTTTCGCGCGCGAAACCATGTGTTTTTACAAGTATGGTGGCTCCTGGGGTCGCGAAAGTGGGGTCTGTGTCTCTAGTTTCTGGGCCTCGATCTGGGAAAGCTGTTGACAAAAAATGCACGAGACTTTCGCGAGAGCTCGATTTGCACTTCAAAATGTTAAAAAACGAAGGGAGTTGGGACAGCGCTGGATTTGTGCGCAAGCTATTTCTGCTCCGACACGGCGTCGGTTTGATGGTGTGTCCTTTGCGGCCGGGATTGCAAGTGCTTGTGACAAAACGCATTGGCACGGATGCGCAGGAAAGCAACACCACTGCTGCTGCAGCCATCCTGCTTTGCGGGATAGCAGCTGGAAGGTTTGAAACGGATTGTCAAGGCTCCGGGAAAGGTACCTCATGAGCATAGTGCTACTCTTGTGCTAGGTGGGATTGTAGCTGGAGGTTGCTAATTGCAATGTAACAGCTGCGTGAAGAAAAGAGCCGGGCTACAGACTAGCTAAGAGGAGGAGGAGGTGACTCAGAGCAGAAGCGGGTCAGAGAAGAAGTATATAGCCCAGAAAAGAGGCTGCTCGAAAAGAAGTAGCAAAGCGAAGTCAGCGAAGAGGTGGCTCAGTGAAGAAGTAGCTCAACAAAGAGATAGCTCACTCCTCCATTCGTTGGTTCATTATTCGTTCTTTCATTGATTCACTCGTATATTAACACGTTCTATTGGTTGATATATAGATTGATTGGTTGCTTGGTTGATTGATTCTGGTTTGTGGTTTGGAACATTTTTTATTTTTCCATATATTGGGAGTAGTAATCCCAACTGACTAACAATTTTCAGAGGGATTGAAGCCACCAATCAGGGTTGATTGATTGATTGATTGATTGATTGATTGAATTTTTTATTCATTCATTCATCCATCAGATGGATGAACATCAATCCATCCATTCATTCATTCATTGATTGGTTGGTTGATTGATCGGACGAGGATGAGCAAACATTTGTGAAGGATTCGTCCCTGGATTCCTTGGCAAACGTGATTGAGAACCATCCTAGTTTTGATAGGTACCCAAGTAGCTTGACCTATTGGACCTAGTGCAATTTTTCACCCAGTTTAGCGACATGGGTATGGGTCAAAATTAAGGACCTAGGGGACCACAGATTTAAGTTTATTTTCAGTATTAACCATCCAATCACTGGGGTACTCAATTTTGACTCATACCCACATAACAAATTCAACCCCAATGTTCGCAGCTCTTTGTTCCCAAAGATAGGATTCGATTTACTTCTGTATCGTTTGTTTCGCTTCAATTATGCAGCTGGTGCTCTTGACAACTGCTGTGGCTGCAAGTCTTGGCCAGACGGATGTGTCAACATGTGGTGCTTTTTCCAGCACGGACGGCAAGTGACAGTTCAGCCTTGCTCCAAGTGGCCTCCGTGCGCGAAACCTTTCCTTGTCACAAGTAGTGAGGCTGCAGGAAACAGGTGCCAAGACCTCGCGGTTCACCTTTTGAGTTTGCTGGACCGAAGCATCAGCAGCTGATCGATTATTTCAAGTATGTTTATTTTCCATTCTTTTTGGGATCATGATCCCATTTGATTTTTCTTGCGAGCGTTGAAACAATAAACCTGGAATGACATGGTAATGGCTTCCATGGAGGACTGGCACAGTTCGCGGGATTTGGCCTGTGTCTGGGGGGTACAGAATGTGAGCATTTCCCGAAAATTGACCGCGCAGATCTGCAGTGCCGTGCCAGTGTTTGGAGAGGATGAAACTTACCTTGCTTTAGTCGTGGAACACAACTGTGATGCTCAGTCGGGGGGATATAGGGCAAATGGATGGGCGCAAAATTGTGACATTTTGGTCATGCTCTTTGCTGGACCTGATGGATCACACAAAACGCAAGTGATAGCACGTGGGCAGTCATGGGTGTATCCTTGGCCACGCGACGAACGGGAGAGCAAACAATTCGAGGTCTTGTTGGAGGACAAAACTTGAACAAACGCCGGCATGGTTCTGGCAGAACCTGATCCAAAAATATTGGGGTACCTTGTTTTTTTGTTTTTGTTTTTGGTTATAGTATACATGTTTGAATGAACCTCGACTGGCATAAGAACAAGGTTCTTGCGATTCGTGTTGATTCCTGTTGGTTCACATAGCAGCATATGAGTTGAAATCCGGACAGTTGCGATTCAATTCCTTTGCGGCTTGGTTATCATCGATGTCAGCTATCCGGTTCGTGTTGCAGCAGTTTGTTTCAATGATATTTTTGTTGAACATTATTGTGGTTGAATTAAGTATCATCCGAAATACCTCAAGGAAAAAAACAATAAGCCTCTGGTACAGAGAAAAGCGGGTGTTGCTGCCTCCGAAAAAAACACAAGTGTTCCTCTGTGGTTTCCTTTCCTGGTTTTCCTTCGTGGTCTTCATTCTGGTTATAACATGTTAGACAAGATTCGCGTGGCCCAGCGTGTCCCCTGCAAGTTTCACACATGACATGCGCAACTGTGCTCTCTCCGCAGCCCCGTCTTTTGCAGTTCAAGAGTTGCTGCCGCTTTTCAGTTTTCAATGTATCAAGGGACACACGAGCCCGGGCCCAGGCCAAGCGGGAGCATGAATCCAACAGAACGCACACCACCGCCACCAGCATGTGTGCTCAACCATTTCCAACATTCGCCAGTTGCCGCTTCGGGGGCCGATTTACTATCGAAATCGGTCACATGTGTTTCATGTGTGGCACCAACTCGAGAGATGGGTTGGGCATTGCAGTCACCTACGGAGACACAACATTGCAACGATAAATTAGTCGAAGCTTGCGCTTTTTGTCGGTCCTGGATGATTTAGGTTGGCTGCGGTGGTTTGTCAAAATGATGTAGTGATTTAGGTTCAATTCCCGACTTGGTATGCTCCTACATTGCACAATATTACCGTTTCTTTTTTTCTTGTTGGGGAGAAGATGTTGGTGACCCCCTCACGGTTGAATAAAGTTCAGTATCGTCTTTCAATGGAGCAATTCTTTGGGCTCGTGGTCCAGTCTCCGATTCAGCGACGCACAGCATGTTGAATGGTCACCGTTAGTGCTTGATGCAAGTTGCCTGAGGTTTTTCGTGCAGACCGAAAACTGCCACTTCTGACAATCGTTGCCCTTGGCTGTATGCTTGGCCTGCGCAGTTAGATTATTTGTGGGTTTGCGCAAGACAAAGTTGGACATGAAGGTCATCCCTGACAATTTGTTTATGAACTTGTCATTGTCACCTGGTGCTTGGGCAGGTCCGATGCCATAACTACAATGCTGCGCTAAAGACCCTTAGGTTCTGCGCTTCTACAACTTTGAAAGCCAGTTTCTCAATTCAGCAAACCTCAGCTTATACCATACGCGGTGCGAAAGCAATTACTTTGCCCTAGGCAGCTGAACTTGTGGAAGTGTGCTGTGCCGGGGCATCGCCGGACCAATCCCTCAGTTGAGCTTTCTTCTCGCGATGATGTGCATGCAGCCCTGGCATTGCAGGAACGTATGGTTGAAAAATGATTGCGGGCTGTGGGCGTTTCCGTCCTGGTTTGTGTTTGGCCACATCTTTCACGAACCCAAACACTCAGAAAAGAGTCTTCAATCCAAACACGCAAGATTTGTCCTCAGGCACAGCGATGGCAATGTGGGGAAGTCACCATATACCCGTCAAAAAGCCGGAGCACCAATGAATCCTTGGTGAGTTGATGGAAGATGGCGATATGTATAGTTTTGTGACACCCCTTGACTCGAAATTTTTGTTTGCGTGGGAACATCACGATAAAACGATAAAACATTCATCTTGCATGGAAGGTGGTGGGAAATGCCATCCACGATTGTCATTCCATTTTAGGGCCGTGGGTGGTCTGGAATTTCTCATGTTGGCTAAGAAATCAGAAACAAGCCGATTTGCAGGAAGCCATGACCAGGCATCAGGGATTGTCCTGGACTGTGGATATGATTGAAGCTCATGAAGATGAACTTGGACTCTTTCTGGTTTGGGCTGATCCATGCGATATTACAGGAGATCACATCGAGCCGTCAAAAGGACGCAGACTGAATATGAAGACGAAGAAGAGTTCAACATTCCTCTTCCTGGTGGGGCCACCCCAGCGGTTGAAAGGGATGACGCTTCGCTGTATCACTTGCTCGTAAACCCCATCACAAAGTCTTCAAAGCAGGATGAGATCACAGCCGCGCATGACATTAGAAACAAGAATCTGATCGTTGCAAGAATATGCGCATGCCCCGATACACGCGAATCTTTGGACATTTTCTTGGCCATCCCGACCAAAAATTTGAGGATTGGATCATTGCCAGAGTGTCTATTGGAGGGCCTGATGGAGAAGTTCATTGACTATCATGAACAATAACGCCCATTTGTAGAGGTTCGGACTTTTCGTGGTCTTTTTTTGGATACTATTCTGGTCCCACATGGGACGAGATTCTTTGAATTGTTCCTTGCACGCCACTGGGGATGGGAGATATTTTGAGAATATGGAGCTTAGATTCCTCCTGCCACGCTTATTTTCCGAGACACCAAGGTGAGATCCAACCAAACATGGGGAAGCTGTATTTTTCTGCGTGTCACTGTCGCCAACTGAAAACTGGGATGCACGCCCGGAGGAGCATGAACCTGCAGGGACGAAGATGGGTCCCGACTTTGATAGGTTTCAGTTCCATCAATTTAAATGCTGCATCACTGAACTTCTTCAGGACATTGGTTTAGGAGATGTCTGACATGGTTGTGTTCAATTGGAAGGTTGATAAAAAAAGTGCCATTTTGTAAACTTGCCGTTCATGACTATTGATGAAGTTCTGTTGTATGAGCAACCCAACGTGATGCCATTTATGGGAATGGACATTGGGGATGGATTCAATTTCACATTGATCTTGGTTTGGGGAAGATGATCCGTATATATATATATATATATGTATATCTCATCATCGCCCATGATGAAGACATGCATCGACAAGGCACAGCCTCAAATCAGAAAACAGAACCCATGCCAGCAGGTGAATTGGAAGGCAGTATCCCAGTTTTTTTTTGCAGTTCTGCGGTATTGCATGGATTGGAAACAGGCTTTGAAAGGCAAAATCAAAGCTGTCTTTAGGCATTGACTTTCACCGAGCCACGCAGACAGCAGAAGCTTTCATGGCCACCCAGGACACACATTGAATCAGGTTCCGAATCTGAAAGACCACCGGCCCATCCAACTCCTGCGCCCAATTAGGGTTCAGTATAGAGTTGATACAACCCGGATGCAGAGGGTTTTCCGACAAAAAAGAAGACAAACACAACTGAAGCGACTTGGTGTTTTCCCACCCAAATCAACAAGTCCAAATCCAAAATGGCAAATTTGTGGTACCGCAGGTCAAACTGACCTCTCTTCTGGAGGGAGTATCACTGGCTAACACGCGACGACATCCAGCACATCATTGAATCCAAACGGGAATTGGGCCCATGTGCTCATGCAGTTTTGATGGCCCAGGGATGCCTTTGTGTCTAGGGAATTGCCGCTTCCATTCTCCCAGAAACAAATTGTCGTGAGTTGGAAGATGCGATGATGAACAGGGCTTGGGTCCAGATTGGAGTCATCCAATTAGTGTAGGTGAACAAACGATGACGACGGATGTCATGAGATCATCCAAGGACCTGTCAAACATGTACATTTTTTTTGAATAGTCAGAACCTTTGATGGCAGATATGTTCTGAAACATCGGAGACCAAGAGCTGGTTGAGCAAAGCGGGTTGACATCCTCACCGATGCAAGTAATCTGGACTGGAAAACAGTTGATTGAAGCACAGACCGGCGTCACTCAGAGGATCAAGCTGCACACCTTGGAGTTGCTGACGGGCAGAAACTCAAGATATGGCATTCGACTCACCAAGGACAGTCTGAAACTGCATGGATCATCTAGAAAAGGATCAACTTCAATACCCCCAAAAGGCATCATGGAGCTTAAACGCCAGGTCAAATCGGGCTTCGTGTTTACCCCCCACAAGGGAAAGCCGAATGAGCGCAACAAAGAATGAAAAGAAAGGCTCAGATTCAAGAACCATTGAGCCTGATGATCTGATAGACGCATTGCCAACATATGGAAACAAAAAGGGGGCTCCAAGATCTGCGAACCAAAAAACCGGTCAAAAGCTGAGGGACCGGAATTTATGAAGAAACGCACATAGGGCTGTCCAAATTTGAGGCGCAAATCCAAAAGTGGTCAGGGAAAATGGCAAAAGTTGAATTTTGATATCGCTGGTGTGCGAACTTTCTTTTCGGAACAATTGAGAGCATGCCTTGCATGTCAATCGTGCACATCGAGACACCAATCCCGCGAGCATCGGTCCGTAGAGAATTTTGACCAGGAAATCACCAGCGGCTGAGATCTCCCAAGACTGGAGAGGTGAAAACTCCTACTCAAGAACCTCAAAAAGGAACAGCATACCCCTACATGAAGCCAATGGCCAGTCATATGCATCCAAAGCTGATGTTTACTGGGTGTTCCAAGGTTGCCGCCATACATGTTTTTCCTGGACGGATCCAGTTTCACTTCTTGTGCATGTGTATGACCTCCGAGATATCGCCTATGACACGGGGCTATCTAGGACCCATGGTTTCTTTCATGGATCTGGTGCCTGTGAAAAACCTTGAAGAATTCCTGACCTGTAGTAGAAGCGGTCCAATTCCCGCGCGCGGAATAATTGACCCGAAGAAAACGCCTGACTTGATTCACAAATCCTACATGTCCACATAACATGTGCCGTGCCATGTTCCGTGCTGAGGCCCAATAGCTGGTTGTAGCAATAAGTAGAGGCAGGTGGACATCACAGTATGCCAAAACTGTGGACCACCACCTGAAGCGGGGTGCTAACATGTTAGAAAAAAAACATCGCCCAGCGTGGCCCCTGCAAGTTTCACACATGACATGCGCAATTGTGCTCACCCTATCTCTTGCAGTTCAAAAATTGCAGCCGCTTTTCAGTGTATCAAGAGACGCACATTATTTGCATAATTGAACAAACTGCAACTGCGTATCTGATTCCCAAAGTCAACAAAGAAGATAATAACTTGTCGAGTTGGTTTCAGGCAGCGCAAGACGATGGCATGTGTCCGAGACGTTTTCTATGTTCCTCCAAAAACCACTAGACAGAACCGGCTAAGACGGCCTCTTAGTGGCCTTGTCAATCAATGGGTCGAATGGATGGGGTGGTCCTCTATGCATGGTCTGGAGCACTTCTTAATTTACACCTTCGAAGGCACCGATTAGGTTGCAATTGATCTTATGAAACCCTATCTTGATGCTTGCATTGCAAGCAGGGTTCATTTCCAGTTTTTTCACCCGCTCGAGATGGCTCGTCAAGGGCACTTCATGAATGATTGCATATACGGCATAATGAATCATGCAAAATGGCTCGCAACAAGCATGGATGGATGAGTATCTGGTGATCCCGGGTGAAGTGAAGTATTTCGATGGGGGCCACATCTTGAAAGAGCAAGGCAAGGGCTCAAATTATGTCAAATTCATCAGCAAAAAATCGTTTCATTTCCTTTTGGTGAATCACAGTTAAGTGCCAACTATTTTACAATTAAAATTGCAGTAGCAAGAGTGTATTTGGATGTTTGCTTTCTTGGTTTTACTTCGTTTTGGAAAAAAATTGGAGGCCAAAATTGCCGGTCTTGAAGTTCCAAGTGTTCGTTTTGCACGAGCACGTCCCGACACCTTTGAGATTTCATCTCATCACTGGGTTCCCAGCCAAGGAGCGCCGAAGCAGTTCATAAACATTGACAACGACTATCGAACCTCGATCGACTCCCTTACACAGTTCAAGGCTTATGAAAGTGGATCCAAAGCTTGCAAGCATCCATCAGTACAGGATCCCAGGGAGGTACCTGGACTATGAACATTTAGACTTCAATGATCCAGTTGCCAACATGACAGATGAGACGCTCCAGAAGAACATGCCTTTGTTGGAAGCAGCAATTGCGAAACGGCCCAAAATGCAAACGTCAGCTGTGAAGGGTTTTCTGAAGAATTTAGCGCAGAGGCAACCGCCAGACACTGGCAGCGCAGCTGCGGCACACAAAATACAGTAACCTGAGGTAGCCTCAGTCATTCTGTGACGTTCAGCGCGTCTTCGAAAAAAGAAGGTGTCGCCATTCATATCTCTGAGTCATCTTGGTCTGAGCGCTGCAGCCAGAGATCATCTCATGTACGATTTATGCACGAATGATTAAAGTTGCAACATGTTGCGGGTAGGGGAGTCAGGACCGAGCAAACACAATGTCTTGCCCCCAGCATGCAGAACAATTTGTAATGTAAATCACAACAGTGAACATGAACTTACACCATAGAAATCATACCACTAAATAACAACATATATGAGAACGCACAACAAACATCAAAACAAACACCAAAAAACACAAGAAAAACAAGAAATAACTCAAATCAAATACCCGTTTCTTTTTTGATCTTTAGGCGTCGGTTTCTCTATTCACGCGCAATATTCTATTCAAGTTGTGTATTCCAAGTTCGCGAATGTCTTGTAGGTAAGAAGTCACCAGTATATCAGTACACATCATGGTATGAGCCTCCAGCTTGGGACGGGACATCACTGTACATACCCTGCTGGATTTTGATCAAGACCTACTACCATCCCCTGATGAACAAGAGTGTTGTGAGCCGCAATAAACTATCATTTCTTTGGATTGTCTGGATCGATTTTCTTCAATCGGAACTTCAAGCATTACATTCACAACCTTCGATTTTTTTGATCTGCAAAGAAAAACGGTATCATGGCACTTGGATGTTTCAAATGCATTTGGATGTTTCACATTTTAGCAGGTCTTGTCAACTAACACACACCGTTAATTACATAATATCATAATATGATACTATTAATGTGAGTGGTTCAACTTGAAAAAAATACGGTTCAAATTCAGTTGATAAAAGTTTCGTTTGACTTTTATCATCCGTTCCAGCCATCCATCCATTCCATCCGTTCATCCTTTCAATTCCCGTTCCCACTCCCAGTCCCACCCCATCCATTCCCAAAGTGATTTGAAACGCTTCAAGCTAAATGTGAAGTGATAAAATGCAAAGCTTCTTCTCTATCTTGGACTGGCTCATTGGGCGACCGATGAGCCTGTCATTTTTCACCATTGTAGACTGACCTAGGCATGTAGGCAAAATTTGGCATGGAGAATGCATGCAGCCTGCAATCAACAGCCAAGGAACAGAATCTGGTAACCATGATTCACCAATTTTTATTAATATTGGGGACCCATGCTGCAGGCGAAGCCCAAGGAAATGTGGCAGCCACGGCGGAATGGAGAGCCCTTAGTGCTGAAGAAGCAGGCGATGCGCCAAAATCATGGTGGGGTTACAATTACAATCATTATAGTGATATGGATATGACTATAGTTAAGGATTATGATTATGATTGTGGTTAGTCATAGTACTGTAATTCAGGACTATAAATGTAACTATTAGTGCTATAACTAAGGATTATGATTATGATCATATAGTGCTACTAATGTAACTATAGTGTTTTTTTTGGTGCCCACCCCAAACTGTGGTGTTATAATCCCTTCCTAATATGAAACACCCGCCAGAAACCGTGGTTCGTCAGGGATTTACATATATTGGGACCCATCTAGAGCGTGTTTAATGTTGGGGGGATGAGGTTACAATAAATATAGCAACCCTCCAGAAAGATGTCGAAGAGATATTTCCAGGATGGTAGTTCGATGCTTGCCTCATAATTGAAAGGGATTTCCAGCTTTTCGGCATCTTTCCGAGGATTGCTATTTAATGGGATTGCAATGGGAAGTACTCGCAATACAATTGGATGATAGGGGTATAATCCCATGCCTCTAACAGAAAAACAAAAGCCCCCAGAACACCTGGTTTGGTGTTGGATCTAATCTTTTTTGGGGCCAAGGGGGGAGGAATTCACACTTGGAGGAATGGGATCAGTCTTGACCATTGAATCACAAAAAAGGTTATGACTTTATGACGTGACAAAAAAAACCGTGGATCTTGAGCCAGGACGAAACCGATGGAGGGCCAGCTGAGCGTGTGGCTGCTTCAGCCAGCAGATCAGCGTCGGACACCGATCCGAAATGCATGGGCCAACTGTCGTTTCCACATTAGCCAAAGGCAGTTGCCCTTTGGGAGCTGAGCTCTTGATTCACAATGGATGCAGAGTTGATGTGAGTCCCTTGTGAAGTGTACCAGTGTACCAACTCTTTATCCTTGCATACAGTGACTGGGTTTAAATTCCAGTGAATATGATGAGATGTCCCAACTAATCAGCCATGATATATTGGAATTTAGTTTGATTCCCACTACGTATAATACATTCATACATACATACATACATACATACATACATACATACATACATACATACACATATTCCATGATATTTCCAATGAATGAAATCCATTTTGGCTGAGGCGGGATGGGCGAGACCAGGGCCCTACTCTTCATGGTCATGAGCGACCAGTTACTGGTCGAAAACTGGTCGCCAAGTGGGACAGTTGTCATCAATCGGATTATGTCAGATTTATAGATTTGGTGATGATTAGAACTTAGATGTAACAAAGAACTGCATCCTGGAGAGCTCAACCTTGGGCGGAGAGGTCTGGAAGTCTGGCTGCAAGGATTGTTCACCTCAGTTTATATACCTGTATATATATATATACACCTCATGAATCATGATCCAAATTTACTTCCAGCAGATATCAATAAACTTGAGGATTTTAAGAGGGGACGTAGTTTGTTTTTGTGTGTTCTGATTGTCCAGGTCACCTTTCTCACCTTCAACAGCGAGAGCAACCTTCTCTTTTCCTGTGGCAAGGACGGGGGAACACGCAGCCTTGAACGTTTCACCAGTTGCCCCAAGACGCGACGCAGAGATCATGTGCCCAAATATGCGATAGATTGCGTGAAGGCACCCTTTTTGAGTCTCCAGTTGAAGAGGTTGAATAAGTTAGCCGTAATATTCAGCAAAAATCAGTGACTGAGTAAAGTTCTCACGGTGTTCAACTGACATGGATCGAAATAGATCCTGTGGGCCGCGCCATTTTGTTTGAACACACATTTGTGTTTTCATAGACATCATGGAACTGCCGAAAACTTTAGCATATTTCTCTCAGCTGAGTGCAAGTCCATGTGTCAAGTGCACCGTTCCTTCCATCACAGAATTGGTTTATCGATGCGATACAGGAAACCAAACACTTCTTTTTGCGGTTTAAGATTACCAAGGTTTCCGATTGCAAGAAATTCATAAGCCAATCCATTGATGCCATCTCCAGAATTGGAGAACCCTTGCAGGAAACCCTATTGTTAGTGGATCATTTTGTGGGATCCTGTAGATTTTTGAATAAACCCAGTGACTCTCAGGACAAAATTGTTTGTGTTTGGAGTTTTCCTGACGGTGAACTTCTTGGTAGCTACAAGGGTCACAATGGAGCGGCCTTTCTGGCTGGATTCGATTGCCGTGGCCCCCTTGCAACATGTGGGTGGGTTAGTATAGCAATTTTAACGGGGAACATGATGATCAATCATCAATCTGTTGTCGTCGAAAAAACAGTTCTCCAAGAGGGATGACTCGAGGCTTAACTTGGCAATAAAACAAGTGCAATTTTTTTTCTGCAGCGAATGGGCATAATGAGGGACGCACTTCAGGTGAGATGGACAATCTCTCTTTCTTTCTCTCTCTCTCTCTTTCTTTCTTTCTTTCTTTCTTTCTTTCTTTCTTTCTTTCTTTCTTTCTCTCTCTCTCTTTCTATATATCTATCAATATATGATCAATATATGATCAATATATGATGAATGTGACATCTCTGCAATTGCGATACTTCTGAGAAAAAGGTACTGGACATGTTCGACAATCAGATGCCCATTTGTGCCAGGTCTGGTCCTGCAGTGCGACATTCGACTCCAGGCGAAGCATGTCACAAAGTCTTGAGATCCAGATCAAGTGATCGACATTTCTGGGAGTGCCATAGAGGTTTTGTTGCGGATTCTGATGGATTTTGAGTGTGACTTTGCTTTTGGCTCAAGCAAAGGAGTTGCCTCACCAAACTTGCGCAGTGCCCCATGTGACTGACCCCTGTGCCAGCATCTGCGATTCGGGCCTGGAGTCTTGGGTCAAAACCAGAGTCGAAAATTACAAGTCGTCCATGGCACGGCAGTGGCACGTGTCTGACGTTCTGAGGAAGGAGCCGAGCCGGATGGAAGGGGAGGCTCGCCGATGAAGTCATTCCCTGGAGCAATCCGCAGGCGCTCACTCTGTTCCCGGCGTGGTCGCCAGTGGACAGGATCCACAAGTCCCCTTTATCGAACCACAAAATAATGTTGCATAAAAAGAGCCAGGCGTTCTCTCAGAACTTTGAGAGCCTGTTTCATCCTTGGTCATCCTTGGGATATCTTTGGATTATGAACTGACACCATCCGTTGGCATGGCATTCATGACTTGACGCAGTCGTCAGGCTACAGAGGCTGCTGGAATCTCGGAAGGCTCTGACATGCAACCAGGCCGTCATAGCTGCCATAGCACTCCTTGAGCTCTTGACTTGTTACCAAGTTAAATGGCTTTGCCCCAGCAACTTCGTTCCCCGGGGCAGGATAGCTTGCAGCTGCGGGATTTCTTGAACAGCAAGACTCATACAGCCGAGGAGGTTCTTTGGCCGAGTGGTTTTGTGATGTTTGCTGTTAATTTGGATCCACTTGGAGGGCAAATGCAGATAGGGCAGCACAGTTGTAGTATTCTCGTGTGGGAAGTGACAAAGCAGAAAAGTTGCCAGGCCTTGTTTTGCCTTTCCATCCTTAGCCCCTTTTGAAGTACGAGCCTTTCAACCACAGGATGACACACAACTTATGGTATGTCTCAAGTCCTGTACTGTCGTGCTGATCTCGTTTTTGAGGTTTCAGAGATCTTGCTGTGTTTAGCCAAGCTGCATGTGCGGGACCGTTCGATTTGGAATGCCGTGCTGCCAGCTCTAGACCAGCACAGTCACTTGCCGGATCTTCTCGGAGTGGCCGTTTTTTTCTTTTGATGGTATTCAGCGTTCCAAGTCTTCCCAGTTGAGAAAGGATACTACCGATGCTCTTCATCCACCCAAGTCAATTAGTACTCCGAACCCAAAGAAACTCGAGACTCGAGGCGCCTTGCTGAGCACACGGTGTTTGCAGAAGGTCCCACTCTGTTTTGCCAGAGCCAGGCCTGACCGACCACCGACTCTGTGGGCTTGGCATTCGGATAGACAGCGTGCCAAGGGGTCGCAACTTTTGGATACTTTTGCTGGATTATCTCAGGATGATCAAAATCTCTCAAAGATGTAGGCTGTTTTTGTTCCCCCTGTACTATTTTGACTACTTTGCTCCTTTTTCTCCCACTTGTGTGATCCCATCATGCTTCAGAACCGGAAAGATCGACCCTCCCCAACACATCCAAGCGTTTCTCCCAAACAATCATCACTTCCATTTTCACATATTTTCAAGTTCCCATAATTTTTCTCAATTTCTCAATTTCTTTTCCCAGGATCTTCCGTGATGTCGGGTAGGTTGCGACCTCCAATCCTTCAAAGCTTGGTGCTTCCCATCCAGCAGCAGCTGCTGCTGCGCTGCTTCACCGCCCGGGACCTGGCGGATCTGGCCTGGTCCACGGCGCGACTGGAGCCCCTGCGATGCTCAGGACGCGGCAGTCATAGCTATTGAAAATGCCAACTTATAGTGGATTTTCCCATGAAAAATGGTGATTTACCATAGTTTTTTGTATGTTTACCAGAGGGTACTCAGTGGCCTGTTTTTCGCAGCATTTGAAAACCAGCCTTTTTTTGCCATCTTTGGAATGCAAGGACTGCTGCACAGTATAGCCCAAGAAGCTGTCCCTTTAATCCCTGAGTTCAAGCCTGCAGAGCTCTCCAAGATTGCTTGGGCCTGTGCCACCTGTGGTGTACGTGAAGGTTGGGTTCTGAGCATTTGTGAACTCCCTTGGAAAGTGATGGGGATGCTTCAGAATGCCTTAAATCAAATGAAGCTCCCTGGTGGTTTCTACAACCTTGAAGCCTTTGGAAGCATCTTGAAGTTTTTTTGATTTTGCAACTTGAAGATTTCTGAGGTCTACTCTTTACTGCTTTGGCAAAGGCCTCTGTGGATTCTGTGGATGGCTTCATTCCCCAGGGCCTCTCAAATGTCATTTGGGCCTTTGCCACATTGGTTTTGGTGGATCCAAAGCTGCAACGGGCCGTGGCTGAGACGACAACAAGAAAAATGAGCACTGCCGTCACCGCAGCAATCTTCAATCCGCAAAATTTGGCGAACACGGCCTGGGCATTTGCCAGACTTTTTTGCAGAGACGATGCACTCTTTGGACAAATTGCACAGCTTGCAGAGGGGCAGATGGATGATTTTTCTTTCCAAAACTTATCCAACACCCTCTGGGCCTTTGCGAAAGTAAAGCACGACGATTTGACGTTCTTCGAGATGACTTCTGAACATGTTCTGGGGCTGTTGCCGGAATTCAGCATCCAAGCTGCTGTGAATTCAGTTTGGGCTATGGCTGAAGTCTCCTATCACAACCATGAGGTCTTCGAGCGAGTTGCTGAAGAAGCTATGAAGGCAAGCGACAACTACAACCCCCAGGATTTATCAAATCTCATTTGGTCCTTTGCAGAGATTTTGCATGAGAATGAGAAGTTGTTGCGCAGCATTGCAAAGACTACGCGTTCAAAAGTTGAGAGTCTCCGCTGCCAACATCTGGCTTGTGTTGCTTGGTCATATGCTCATTTTGTGGAGCGCTGGACACAGACGGGGACTTGACCATGCCTTCACCACAGTTGGACCTGGATAAAGTCGGATAACGTGCAAATGGTCCAGCGTACAAGGACGTAACGAATGAATCATTGCAGAGGAACCGACAGAGGCTGGATTTCTTGAGGCGATGGGGCCCGATGGGGCCCGATGGGGCCCGGGATTGCGAAAGTTGACACATTGCAGCCTGAATTTTCATGGATCGTCCAGCGACATGCACAGTTGTTCCCCATGTCCTTGGAAGCCACCAGGCCAGGCTCGTTTTTTCTTCCTTTTGCACCGATTTGCACCGATTTGCACCTTGCAAAATCTCCATTTTCAGATGTTCCAAAGTCGACAACGATGGCACGGGCGAGTGATGGGGATGTGAGACGCTGAGATGGAGATGGGCCCTTGGGACTTTGGGACTTTGGGACTTTGCTTCCCCACAGTATCTTGGGGTGATCTTGTTGGTGACCTCGGTCACCTGAAGGTCTGCAAAAAGTCCAAGATTTCGTGTGGAGATGGTGGGGTCGGGGCATGATGGCATGCATTAGAAGCATCACCTTTCTTCGCGAAATTCGAATGAACAGAAACAGGCACATGAAATCTTAAAAGATTCTTTAATTCTTATCGTATGATGATGTGTGCAAGTCGAATGAACAGGTACAAAGATGAGATTCTAAATATGTCTAAAGATTTTCAAAGATTCTAACAGATTCTTGATATTATTGCTTAATAATGTATGGAGTAAGTCGACTTTGGTGAGTTTCTGCAGCTGTTTCCTGGAGCCAGGTGGCTTGTGACCTGTGGCGCTGATCGTTTAGTGATTGTCTGGGAAGCCCGAACATCAAGGCTCACTCGGCCTCCTCATGTGCACTGCACTTGTGTCACTTGCAATTTACAACGCAATTGGATGGTTGGAAACACTGTAGTCAGGCACTTGGTGCAAAGAAGAACGATGGACTTGAGGACTTGACTTAGATATCTTAGATATCTTGGATCTATTTGGATCTTAGATGTCCTGGATTCCAGGGAGCTCGCACGAGTTGAACTTCCTGGAGTGGTTCGGTGTGTGGAATGGGCTGGAGCAGGTGCCATCCAGAAGCTGAGGAAGCTGAGCTTGCCCGCTGTTTATCGGGAGTGAAACAGACCTTTGGAAGAGGATTGAAAGAGGGCTTGCAGTCTGATGTTAGAACTTAGAACAGATCCATGCTTTGTCAAGTTTACTATTTGAATTTTTCATTTCAGAAATGGGGGTAGCCCCATTTCTGGATGGTGTTTCTACTGTGAATGTTTGTAAAATCCATCTACCAGTAGTACCGCACAAGGCGGTGGCGGAAGTTTCAAAAATAGGAAACCTATAGGAGAGCTTGGTTGTTGTGAATCAGGGATGGCAGAGCGAAGCCACTGATGGACTGAAAGGTGCTTGAGGTCTCCTCTCTTTCTCTCTTTCTCTGACTATCTACCTACCTACCTATCTATCTTCTATGTATCTATCTATCTATCTATCTATCTCTCTCTCTCTCTTTCAAATTACCTATCTATCTATGTATCTATCTATCTATCTATCTATCTATTGGAGAATTTCGCTGCTGCCCGCACATGTTGTGCAAGCAGATTTGCGACCCTGCGGCTTGAACATGAATGTCAACATACCTTTTTCTCTTTGTGCGTCCCAATTCCGGTTGCTACTGTCAAGGTCCCTTTCTCGCAGCCATGTTTTGACCACTTTTTTGGGCCCTGTTTTAGGGGCCATGATGAAGCAGGTTTGTTGGCATTCGAGGCGCTCCAAGGCTTACCGAGGCCTGCCCGAGGCACGAGGACAAAGCGAGGCTCACGGGGACTCGAATCTATATAATTAATATTATTGTTGGGGTCCCTTAGCAATGATTGATGGTGTGGCAGTGGGGCACTGTGGTGCCTTCTGGACTTGCAAAAGTATTGCTGTTTGTCAAAGCTGCGCCAGTTTTGGCAAAAAAAGGTCACTGCAGCATCTCATTTTCGGAGCTGTAAAACATAGGCCTTGGACTCCAAGAAGTGGTCCTCCCCAGTTGCGTTGAAAAATTGATGGTCAAACAATCCCCAACTTTGATCCACTTGCGTCATGCGAAGACCTTTTTGTGTGAAAGTTTGGTGAGAGGATGTACAGTGTACTGAACCACCTTGAACCTACTTGAACATCTTTAAACCTACCTTGGAACAATGTATGTGCAGGTGAACAGTTAGGAAACCATTTTAAGTTTGTAGGAACCGATCTGTGAACTAGAGAACCCATAGGAACCTATAGGAACTAGGTAGGAACCAATTTGGAACCAAATGGAACCAGTTTGTGCATGGAAGAGCTTGGAGATGGATTTTCGTTTGTTTTTGTGGTTTGTGGTGTTTTTGGATGTTGTTTGACCCATGTCCTAGGAACTTGATGTTGTGACTGTATTTGGTAGGAGTTTTGTAGGGTATTTGTGAGTTTGAGACGTTTTATTTGGAGAAGCTGGAAGAACGTTTTTTAAAGTTTGAGAACTCTTTTGAAGTAGTTTGAGAACGTTTGAGTGTCACTGCGTTTTACTCTGCACGACTCTTCTAAGAAGAAGAGTGACTGAGCTGTCCAACCTGTGTGGTTTGGCTCAAGTCCGAGCTGTGAAAAAGAGCTGCCACGCCGCGCTCGTGTTTTCACATGGTAGCGGAGCCATGAAATCTCTATAGAAGCGCTGACACCAAGGTCGTCTATAAAATTGCAGACGTTGACACTGGATAGATACCCCCAAACAAAGGATGGCCCTAAAACGCACCATGTTTCGAAGCTTATAATTTTCGAGAGGATATTGCAAGGAGGAAAATTTAAATCAGGATGAAGGGTTACAAGCCCTTGCGATTTCTATCAACCTAGGCAGCAACGTCGCAAGGCAAGGTCCGGAAAACCAGCCATTTTGATTCACATATCTGCCAACGCACGCGCGGATGCCTGCGGATGCCCCTGCGGATGCGGGAGAACCCTTGCGAAGGACCACTGCGGATGCCAAAAACCCCCCAAAAATGGCCGCGGATGCATTTCCGGCGTTTGAGAAATACAAAGTAATAGAAAGCAACCCGCCCTGCGGATGCTCAATGGGGTGTGTGGCACATTGTATGGGGGGGAGGGGGTTTGCTGCCGTTTCCTCCCCTTCCCTCGGTGACGCCTTCGTGTTGAGGAGTTCTCTTCTTCCCACTTGCGGCTTCCATCCCTCTTTCCAAACTTGGCCTTGCCACGCGTTGACTCCCCATCAGGTCTCGCCTCCCAGACTTGGCCCTGCCACATTCTAGGTTCCCATAAGGGGTGGTTCCTGCGAAACCGGTGCCTGCCACATGTTGACGTCCTCAAAGGCGGTTTCTTCCACAGTAGCTCCTGCCATGCGTGCCTCGGGCAGGCCTCGGTAAGCCTTGGAGCGCCTCGAATGCCAACAAACCTGCTTCATCATGGCCCCCAAAACAGGATCCAAAAAACCAGTAGGAACATGGCGGCCAGAAAGGGACCTCGACTGTACAAGAAACAAAGTGGGACGCACAGAGAGAAAAAGCATGTATTAACACTTACGCTCATGCTAGTGCGTCGCAAATCTGCTTGCAAAACCTCTGCGGGCAGCAGCAAAATTCTCCGATGGCTGACCCCACTTTTGGTCCAAATCTGGATCCCAAAACGGGGCCCAAGCAAAGACCTAAAAGAAGGAATGAAAATGTGATCCAATTCTGGACCCCATTTTGGGGTCCATATTTGGACCCAAAAATGGGGTCAGCCATTGGAGAATTTCGCTGCTGCCCGCACATGTTGTGCAAGCAGATTTTTTTGATTTCAACCCTGAGGATTCTGGATCTGATCACTGTGGCCCTCGACAGCATGGACGTGGAGTTGCACCTTGGGCTGGTTTCCTTGGGCACCAAGGCATGAGGAAAATCCAACATGGCGGTAAACGGTGGCGGTTAATGGTGGATTTCATGTGGATTTTAGGACTGGATTGGGATTTCGAATGGGATGTAAGATGATTTAAGTGTATACTTGGATTTACTGAAGATTTTCTGGCTTTTAAACAGTTTCCCACTGGAAGATCCACCAAAACCTGGGGGTGTTGTCGAGCTTGGGAATATGTTTAAGCAAATCCAAGACAGCTGGGATAGAACTGGCTTTATCGAGCCAACCTATGGGATTTCATGGGGATTTCATGGGATATGATTGAGATTTTTCATGGGGATATCTAATGGGATATCGAAAACCAACTAAAATATTAGATCTTTGGGGGTGCATCCTGCTTAGTAACTGGTTTCGTTTTCTCACTTATAAGTGACATATACTCCTAATTAATTAGCCCGTTTGTAACCTGGGTTATAAATGGTGCGCCTTATGGGCGAAATGGGATGACCCGCAACATGGTAAGTTCAAGAGGAAAACTGATGATCAGCCAGTGGATTTGCGGAAAACTAATCTTTTGAGACAAAGCACATCTACCCTCTGACTATTTCACATAGCTATGGACAATGTACCATTTATGACATTTATGGATGATTTTACTTGTATTTACCTCTTAAGAAGGGTGACTTCCCATAGCTACGTTAAATAACTACAGGGTAAATCATCAATGGGGGGTTAGTGCGACACCTGGGTATATCATTCCTGGTGATACGGGTTTGTCTAACGATGAGGGTTACTAGCCAATGCGAGAATTATTCAATGTTTCAGTGGGGTTCGAACTAAAAATCGGGATGTTTGACTATGGTATCGGGATGTTTGACTATGGTATTATCAAAAAACAAATGTATGTTTAATTATGAGGATGTTTACTATGGTATCTAACTAGGGATGATAAATAAGTGGGGCACATGAGCCAATTTTTTTCTGGGGTGTATCCCCCCCATTGTTTTTTTGATTGTTTTTGTTTTTTGTTTTTTTTTTTTTTTTTTTTTTTTTTTTTTTTTTTTGTTTTTTTTTTTTTTTTTTTTTCTGGGGTGTATCCCCCCCATTGTTTTTTTGCCACCACCGTGGGTAAAGCACAATTGTTTTGATGCGGGGACCGCGCCGATTTTTTCAGAACTCCCCAGAGGGTTGGCCTCGGGGTGATCTCCCCCGATAGCTCAGGCCTCGGAAATTCAGTCGCCTCTGGTGATTTTTTCACATAGCGATTTATGGTGATGGTCCATTCCTAGATAATAAACAGGTAGATTTAGCTAGATTTTCCTAGATGCTTATTCATTACTGGTAAAGATTCCTAGATTCCTAGATGATTTACCCATCATCCCAGTTGGTAAATGATTCCTAGATTTACCATTCCTAGATGGTCAACAGGTAGATTTACATTCATTGCTGGTAAAGATTCCTAGATGATAAACATGTTGATTTAAATGATTTACCTAGCTATAAAATGCTGGATCTTCCCGGCTGAAAAGAATCACCGGGTAGATATCTCTCCCCAGGAAGTTGGATGAAGACTTTAGCGAGTGAAGGACGTCACGCCGGCGCGCGGCGTGAAGCGCTTTTTTGAGGCAGTCGATGGTGCAAAGCCAAGTCACTAAAAAATGCTGGGTGTGTGGAAAAATGATGAAACATGGGGATACTGTATGCCAAATTTCTTATTAAGTGGTTGTAGTTCATATATCAATAGGGAATGGGTTATGTCACGGTTCTGTCCCACTTAAAACTGGCTTTGGAATGTGGGGATATGCCAAACATGTTGCACCACTTCCCAAGTAACGTAGACCGGTCTTCGGTAGACCCTGCCAAATAGGGGGATGAAAGATCAGTTTCCAGACATACCCATATGGTGGGTTGGATTAGTTCGGGGTGTATCCCAATTGGTGAGTGGTTAGTAGACTACAAGTAGGGTATATCCCACATAACTATTGACTGGGTTCAAATACGCAAAAAAAAGCCACTTAGCAACTGGGATGCACATCCAAGTAAGATCCAGCAGAAAAAAGTGTATTGAAGTTGGTTTTCCTCACTTTTCCAGGGGCCAAAACTGATGGATTTTCTTTTTCCACGGCTGGAGCTGATTGGCTGGAGAATCCACCGGATTTCATGGCGGATAGCCCTAAATAAAATGGCCTTTGGATGAAAAGATGATCATCCAAGAATCCATAATAAGCCATAGGGAATTCGTAGGCAACATTTTCAGACCCCCAAATCTCTCAGCCAATCATCCACATCAAGTGGTGGTGTCTTGAACCAGACCACAAGAAGTGACGCAACGTGGCACTGGCAGATGGACAACATGGGACAACGCTCACCGCGTGAGTCCAGGATATTTCTGCAGCCGGTGAGAGGCTGAGGCATAGTAACCATGACAACACCATTGACTATTGTTGTTAATGAGACAATAAGCAACACTATTGGTTATGATGATATTATATAGTAATAATAATAGTAATAATAATAGTAATAATAATAATAATCATCATCATCATAACCAATAACATCATCATCATAATAGTATGATAACGATAACAATAGTACCATAGTATGATAACAATAGTACAATCGTATGATAATAATAATAAACATCATCATCATCATCATCATCAGCATCATCATCACCATCACCACTATGCCCACAATGTTGGCCTCTTGGGAAACCTTCCAGGAGTTTTGGTGGAAAACTGTCCTCCGACGCATGGGACATCTTCAGGCTTCTTAGGTTATATATATATACATATATATATATACACATATATATTACATTATAAATCATATATATATATATACCTACATTAATGAGAATGTCCTTGAACATTGTTTTCAATTGTAGCACCCTGAAGATAGAGATTCTGCACCTGGAATCAGCAGATATCATCGGCTTGGCCGTTTCACCGTCAGGGCCGTTTGATCCCTGAGACGCTGCCGATGTCTTTCTGGGATGAACTTAAGCCACTTAGTAACTGGGATAAACCTCCAAGCCAGCATTTTAAATAAAGGATAATAAAGGTAGATATGCTAAGAGACACAGGGCAATATGACAACATCTTCAAAGTGGGAAGTGCTCTGCGGATTCTGCGGAAACTCTGAATCTACAAGTTGGATTAGAGTCTTGCAAAAACCATTCTATCACATCTATCACTCAAACACCGCTTTTCCTGCAGGGTTACAGGATGAATCTCCTACGTGGTGGTGCCCCAATTCGTTAGCCAAGTCAAGTTGGTTTGCAACTTAAGTGGATTTATTGTGGATACAGATCGATATAAACCAACATAATACTGGGGAGCACCACAGCTGGTTGGTGGTTTGGAACATGACTTTTATGACTTTCCATATATTGGGAATGTCATCATCCCAACTAACTTTCATATTTTTCAGAGGGGTTGGTATACCACCAACCAGATAACCCTTGTGAATCACTATTAACCACTATCAACGATGGTAAATCTAGTGGTAATGGTTTATTGATGTTTATTGGCCATTATCAACCATTATCATTCACTATTAACCATCGTTAGCCATTAAAAAAACAAGCATTAACTACCATTAACAGATGTTTTTATCATTATTAGATATGGTGCCTTCTTTTTGGTGTCTCTTGAGTTTCAAGGGGAGCTCATCCCAGACCGAAAGATTCCTTATCGCGACGACCACCTCCATGGCTGCCGCAGTCGTTTCAAAAAGCGGAGAGAGGGGGTCCATCCAGTAATTAGTTGATTAATATCTATTAATATACTATATGTAGTAAATAGACTGTATGATACCAGTTATTAATATATATATTTATAATATTATACCATCCAGTTATTGACCAACAACTATATATACACATGGGTTGTACTTTATACCATCCTATAGAGGAATGATTAGATATCTTAGCACATTGTTTAATTGGATTTTGGTAGGGGCTTCACTGGGATTTAACCAAGCAATATAAAGGGATAAACATATAGGAGATAATTGGGATATGCAACAAACTGAATATGATTTATAACATTTTATAACCCTATCGCAGTGTTCAAACCCTTGTTGGTTAATTATGATAGGAGTTTGTACTGATTAAGACCCTGTTTTTGGTGGGGATTATCATAATCCATCATGGGAAACACTATGAAACAGCTAGTACAAAGGTACGACAGATGGTTTTGAAGACTGCCCATGTGTGTTTGTTTGAAAATGTTGTTTTTTTTTTTTCGGTATACATCCAAGAATTGATAAAAATTGCGTTTCAACAGGCAACATGATGATCATTCAACCCAACAACCATTCGGGGTGCCCTCACCTGCGCCAAGTCAGCTGCGCTGCGCCAAGGTTGGGATGTTTGACGTGGTCCGGGAAACCTGCAAGTGGGGGCACCTGAGAGCAGGAGGATTTCATGGAATTTACCGGGAGTCAATGGGATTATAACCTACCTTAATTAGATGGGGATTAATATGAAATTCATGCATGTAGGGATGTAAGCATCAAGAATTTGGATTTAATGGCTTCAATTTAATCAACAAATAGGATTTCACCATATTTCACCATGAAAGAAATTGGACTTGGCCAAGAACGGTGCATTTAAGTAGCAATATACGTTGGTTGATGTGGAAAACACGTGTGTTGGTGTTGGGTCATGCCAAGTCATGCCACCAATGATTGCATATAATTATTGCTGGGGGATTCAATGTTGTTGACGTCTGCAAACTCCAGTTCGCTTAACATCAATAACGTTGAGAAAATATTGCATCAACACTCAACATAATTCAACCACTCGTTGAAAGAATATGTTATTGATGTTATAGATTTCTTGGGGTCTTGATTTCCAAAAATAGTTTCCAAAACACAAAAGGTCAATGGTCATTCCAGGATCCTAAAATGGAGGTACTGTACCATATAAGGCCATATTCTGGGGCAATATCCCCTTCCATAGGCCTTACATAGGCCTTATGAATATGGTAGGTACGGAATCGGTACCTCTGATTGTGACTTCTAGCAGATTGCTGGTGAATCTTGACCATTGGAGTTATGCCACATTTCTTGGCCATGGAAATGAACAGAACCTCTGGTTTTTGATTGAGAGACTTTGCCAACTTTCCCCGAGAAACTGGCCAAAAGAAAGGTCCGACTTTTGTGGATCTATCCCCGAGGGAGCCACCATGGTTTCTGGGGGAAGGGATTAACTATACCATAGTTATTCTTGCTACTTATATATATATATATACATATACATTCCATCATACCAATATCCCTTCTTAGTTACTACAAATAGTTTTGGATCCCATCATTAATGCTTAAGATTATTGGTTTTCATTTTTTAGTTACACATAGTTTTCATAACCGTTAATTAATTAGTTAATAGTTCTTGGTTAATAGTTGGTGAATAATTTGTTGCACTAATAGTTTTCATGTAGTTCTTGGTTATCCTACTCAACCATAGTTTCTGGGAAGTGTTGAACATATTTATTCTGGAAGGGATTAACTATATCATAGAGATATGGACCCCCCAAAAAACCATGGTTTCTGGGAAATGTTTTTTCCCGAATGCGTAGCAAGGGTTCCCGTTTCACTCTGGGGGTCTGGGGGTTGAGGGTGTGTTCGCTCGACGTTGCGTTTACGTCCGCAACCGTTCGCAACCGTTCGCAACCGTCCGCAACCGTCCGCAACCGTTCGCGTGAGGGCCGTATGGCCGTGCCTATGGAGTTCGGCAGAAGGTGTTGTTTTTGGAGGTTTCAAACGTCGCGTTGCTGCGTTTCGCGTGGCAGGCGTGGCACTTCGTGACATTCAGACGTTTTTTGTAACGTGTCGAAAGTCGTTTTGTGTGGCAGGCGCAATACTTTTGCGACGTTTTCAGAAGATGCGTTGCAGTTTTCGTGGCAGGCGCAGCACTTTGGACGTGTCCATCGTCATTTTGCGTGGCAGGCGCAGCACTTTAGACGTGTCGTGTTGCGTTTTTTTTTTGGCGAATCGCATTGTCAGGGCTGCGTCAAGTGGCGACAAGGTGCAAATTCCGTGGTAGGCGTGGCATTTTGTGAGATGTGATGAAAATTGACGGAAGCCTCGCACGAAACATCGATTTTGAGGTAGCAAATTTAGAGGGCTTCAAGAAAACTCGCAGGAAAAGTCGATTTTGAGGCTACACAATGTCAAAATTGGAGGAAGTCTCGCACGAAATGCTCGTTTTGATGCTCCCAGGTGTCTCGTCTCGAGTCGCTGGTTTTCCTGTGGCCTCGCCATGTCTATGGGAGAAGCTGCAAGATCTCTCCTTTTCGAAGGTTTTCAACTCTGAAAATTGGCGGAAGTCTCGCACGTAGTGCTCGTCTTTGCTGCGCCCACGTGTCTCGTCTTGAGTTTCTGGTTTTCCTGTGGCCTCGCCGTGTCTATGGGGGAAGCTGCAAAACCTCTCCTTTTCGAAGGGTTTTCAAGCAGGTTGTCACGTCGTTTTGCGTGGCAGGCGTGGCACTTTGTGACATTCCAACCTGTTTTTTGCACTCCACACTCCCCACTCCACACTCCACACTGTACACTCCCAACTCCCCACTTTACACTCC